GTATCAGCTTCAAAGCATGTCTCATTCCTCCTGCCCAGTCCAGCCTTTTCTGCAGTGGTCCAGAACTCTAATTTGACAGAAGTGTTCCACCAACAGTGGAGAGGAGGAAGGAAGGGAGAAGAAATTCCTAGAATGGAGATGCAGAGATGGAATGTGCCCCTGTAGTAGACATGCCAACAACAGAATGGAGAAAATAGTGCTCTAAACAGAATTTCTGGGCCCCTCATCCCAGCACACCAGAGTTCCCAAAGCTCCAGCCACACATCTGAGTTTTGTCCATCTTTCATAAAGCAGGCAATGGGACTTCCCTTCCTTTTCACTGAGGCCCCATCGGTGTCGGATCCTGCCAGCTGAGTCCAGAGAGACTTTTCTTTCTCCGGCAAAGTTCCTGCAGACGTGAGGTTATGTATGATGCTTCCCCTCTCGCCAACACCTTGTCGAGCCCCAGCTGCTGCAGTTTCTCCACCAGATTCAAGCTGAAGATGCTATCCCGGCTCTTCTCTGGTTTCCTGCACTGCAGCCGACACAGTCCTGAGGTCCAATTAGCAAAGCTGTCCCAGCGGTCATGCCACAGCAAAGCCAAGGAAGGAGAAAGCCAAGGAGGAGGAGATGGATCTCTAATAAACTGGGGCAAAGCCATGGGTGCCCTTCCTTGGCTCTGTGCAGAAATGCCTTGCTCTGCCAGTAGAGTCACCAGTCCAAGAGGAGATTCTGTCTCTTCCTCCTCCTGCCTGGGTTGTTCCTTTAGGGGGTGCTGAGGAGGGGAAGAGGGGTTCAGCCCCGTGCAGGGCCCACAAGAGGGCACAACTGTATTATAAAGACTAAGGAGGAGGAGGAGAGTAAAACAGAAACATTCAGTGTAAAGGTTTGGATACATTTCAGATAGGTGCTTAATTGCATACATACATCCCAACCCACCTTGATTTGTTCTACAACAGCCTCTCAACCTGTGCTGGCTACAAATTCTGGCAACAGGGAAGTCCCTTTCAGAGAAAGCTATTTAGAGGGATTTCTAAATTACATGGTATTTTCTCAACTAGGTGCAAATGCCCCTGATTACTTGGGCCCTGAAAATACTAATTTTCTGTATATAACAGGAAAGGAGCACATAATGGACAAACCAAATGGAGAAACTGGCTTTCTCATTTCTGTTCAGTCTACAAAGTGAAAGTGAAGGAAAGGCTTGGAGGATGGGAGATTGTCACTTGTGTTCCTTTTCTACAAATTGCTCCTGCTCACATATGGGGAAAGAGTTGTTCTAGTGAGAATATTTTGGGGCTTGAGTTCCTTCCTTCCTAAGCATATCAACGGCATAAAAAAAAAAAAGGTTCCTCTTGGTTCCCTTTCAGATAACCAAGGCAGGCTTGTCGCAATTAATATGGGCAGTGGCTGCTTCTGGTGGTACCCTTAAGGCTGGCTGAGAACTACAGGGTCTGATCCTTTAAGGCCCAATCCACCAAATTCATTTCTTTTTAATTGGGTCTTCTGCAAAACAAAAGAAGGGACCAAAGTAGCAGAGAGTCTGAAATCAACAGTACTAAAATTGGAAGACCATGTCAGCCATGACGCGCTGCTCCTTAACGCTTCCATGGTGCTAGTGGAGGGACTGCCTTCTCTAACCTGGTCTCCTATAGCCGTGTTGCGACTGTAATTCCCAGAATTCCCCCGCCTTGCCATGACTGCAGCAATTCCTGGTTTCTGAAATCAGGTACCTGTTTGTAGTGTCCAGGAACAGGCCAAGACACAGACATTTCCATCTTGGAACCTGATAGCCTTGAGGATGCTCTCTCCATCTATTAACTTTGTCTGTAGTCTTTTAATGTGTTTTGCAGTCTTTCAACGTTTTTATGTTTTTTACTTGTGGGCCGCCTAGAGTCACTGATAGTGAGATGGGCAGTGTATAAATTTGATTTATAAATAAAAATAAATAATAGAAAAAGGTGTTGAGGACAGAAGCTCTCTGACCATCCAATAATAAA